ACTGCTACTGCCACTTCTACTTGACCTGATCAAAGATGTACCTGATGCAGGAGAAGAATATGAATCTGAGCGTCACAATTTCATTCTTATACATCTGAAACTTATGGCAGCCCAGGACTTGAGAATTGAACCTCGAAAACCCATCAGGTATAGCTGGTGGTGTAGTGCCAGTATATTCGTACTGTTCTTGAACCCTCTGCGCTAGTTATTACTCTGCCAGGCGGAAAAGTGAGCTACTGAGCACATCTCCAGAATAAACTCAAGATCATGGGTATATGGTGTTGAACCCACATAAGCTTTATCTCAGCCAGTTCAGATAATGGACTCCTTCCAATGTAATGTAAATACTGTATATAGGAGAATATATTTCCAGGATTTACTTATATTTGCCAGATCAAATTAAGGTAGGCTAATTGTTGTTCACATGGTATCAGATATGGACTGAATAAATATAAATTGCTGTATGGGTTCCAGGACTGCACTGTCGGACAACAAGAATAGGCCCACTGCCTTCCCAAAATCAATGTCGTAAGAGTCGACTAACTGTGGGCTTCCTTTGGAGTTAGAGTACATCTGCCTGAGAGGAACCAGCAATCTGCATACACATGTCAGATCTGTAAAATGGATATACACGCAACACTCAGATCATGGAACAAGACCAAAGTCCAGAGGTGGACGAACAACCAGAACTTCATACTGGAGTTTACAGCCTGTGAGCACGAAGAAGAAGAGCAAACATAAATTATGAAAATACAACTATAAGATAGCAGTATTTCCTACTGCCACTTGCAACTATTACACCTCAATATTTGAAAGAGATTAGGGTGATGAGGAAAGAATAGCCTGGGTTAAATACAAGAATGGGGTCTGTCCTCTGGCATGCAACAAGGAAGCAATACAATAGCTATAATGACAATACACTTTAAGTGCATCAGAACACATGTGACATTAAATAGAAATACTGTGTCTGATTCTCAGTCAGTATTGCGAAAGGTTCAGACATTGAGCTGCAAAATCTCCCCATGTGGGTTCTGTATGTGTGAGTGTGGGGGGAAAGGGTTGACCTACTGCCCTAAAAAAAACAGTTTGATGGAAAGTGACTGATTAGGAGTTTGCTATAACCAAATATGGTGGGCTGAAAGCCACACAAATCACAGCCTATCTGTAAACCACAGCACAAGCAGGAACCACCCATTTAAGAGGCAAGCGCACAAGAAGAACTACTGCCAAACCCAACCAAAGGAAAAAAGTGGAAGAAGGTCAGCAGATGACCTTTTAATTTGACACCATTGTCACATCAGGCATATGATGCTAGACCCACAGTTTTATAGATCAGTCAGCGCCCAGTGGCTGATGTCAACCAGATCAAATCAAACGCCGCCTTTACTTCCTTACTTCCGCACTTTCAGTTTTCATTTGTTGAGAACACCACCCCAATGTTTTCTTTGTGTCCCCATACTGCCTTCAACCGCGTTCATTCATACATTCTTTAGCTATTCATACACCCTGCAGGAACTGTAATCAATTAACTGGTTTCGGTTTCAGTTTCATGTCTGCTCCAGAACCTTCTAGAAAGACATGCCCATCCTAATGTACCCTGTGCGCAAGCTGTTTGCGCATCACATGTTTCCACCAGGAAGTCAGTCCTCCAAAATTTTAAAAAAAATTGGTAAGTGAACATTGTTAAATTTGTCAGTTGCTGGATTTAATATTATGATTTAAAGTGTGTGTTATTTGTTTATTAAGTTCACTGTTTTGTGTATTTCATATGTTACTGTTGTGAAAAAGTAGATATTTTATCACTTACATGTATTTATCAATGTATTTTGCTATATTAATTTTTAATTACTGTAATATCTGTTTTCTTCTTCTAAATATCCTTAAGTAAAACTTAAAACTAATCAAACAACAAAATAAATATAATAATCTAACAGTTGAAAGTTGGGAACAATATTGACATACAAATTGATGGGGAAAGTTTTGTACAAAATTGGAGTGTTTCAGTTCTTTTGGCACCTGGAATTTTTAAATATTTTTTTAGCTGACTCATAATGGGAAAAATGTTGAATTAAAAAACTGACGAGTGCCTGGCTTTCAAAGAAGCCTTATACACAGTGCAGGTACTGTAGTACGTTAGGAAGCCAGAGTTTTTAAAGCCTGTGTTGACCAACTGAAATTGGCTAGAAAACACTTTACATAGTAGCAAGGATTCACAGCATGTCGGGCATGCATCTCGTTTCTCAAGACTGTAAAAGTTTAATACTAATATACAAATGGCTAATGCCAACTTACCAGAAAATGAAAATAGGAAAAGGTAATTATAGAAAACATCTAACTGGTTAGATTCTGAACTAAAGGATACAGAGAAAGAAAACAAAGAACACCATATTAGTTTTTAAAATTCTAACAACCACTCCCCGAACTCATTGTTCTTTTTTCTTTCCCTGTTTTTATTACTGTAATGATTATTATTACTCTATTTATGCTTTGTTTCGCAACAGCTTTTTCTATTTCCATTTTTCATATTTCAGTTCTAGCTCTTTCTCCACCATGTGACTTTCCTGTTTGGCAGCTGGGCTTAGCATTCTTCTTTTTGTTTTAATCCTTGATAAAGACTGGTCCTAACTTAGGTTGTATTTATTCATGTTTTTTTCCATTCACCCACTTGTTGCACTTTCTAGTCATAGTTTTTATCATTAATTTTAAAAGGGCAAGGATAATGATGTCAAGGATAAATTAAAGCATGACATTTAGAAGTACTCAAGTATTAAAGTATTCGGCTATCCTCCGAATAACAGTAATAAATTATCGAGGCGGAAAATATAACCTAACAGGGCCTCAGTCACATGTCAGTTGCGCACTTCCGGGGACTATAACACTACTGCCGAATTGCGAACTTCCGGCAACTTGTGTGCGGCGTAGATTGGGGCTAAACTAGAAGGCTAGGACTCATGAGCAAATAAAATGAAGGAAGCTGCAGGAGATGCGGTAGCTGCTGCTAGTGAGTCCTAGTCATCTAATTTAGCCCCAATCCACCCCGCATGAGCGGCGTGGGGGACACTCTCGGCGGTGGCGGAATTTGCCGAAAGTTCGCAATTCGGCAGTGACGGAAGTCTCCGGGAGCGCGCATTTTAAGACGACGGAAGTGCGCAATTGACACGTGACTGAGGCCTTGTTAGGGTTTATTTTCCGCCTCGATAATTTGTGTCCGTTATTCGGAGGATAGCCAAGTATTCTGTAAACCTACATAAATTTCAAAGTGATCATACTTGACAGAGTGAAAATGAGGAGGTTAGAATAGACAGGGGAAAAAAATGAAATATTTTCTCTTTTCTTCTTAACATTCACCAGATGTAAATTCTGACAGAATGTCTTGTTCATGCACTTCATTACTTAGGTCACATCCAGATTTTGAGTATTTCCCACACACCCGTTGTACTTCTTCTTCTTCTTCTTCACTTCCTCTTTTACCACTGTGGGTGTCGAGGGAGATATAAGGTTCTGTTTCTAGCTCTCCGTTGTACTGATCTGGCTTATTTGAATGTTGATCATTGGCTGCTCGCCTCTCAGGCAGATTAACTCCAGACTTTGACGGAAACATCCATGATGATTTGCCACCTCCTATGACATGCTTGTTAGGGGAGCCGTGAATTTGGCTATCCTCCGAATAACGGTCCTAAATTATCGAGGCGGAAAATATACCCTAACAGTTCCTCAGTCACTCGTCATTTGCGCACTTCCGTCGTCTTAAATTGCATGCTTCAGGCGACTTCTGCCAGAGCCGAGAGTATCCCTAAGGCCGCTCACGCGTCGTGGATTGGTGCTAAACTAGATGGCTGGGACTCACGAGCAGCAGCTACCGCATCTCCTGCAGCTTCCTTCATTTTTTTGCTCGTTTGCAATTCGTCATTGGCGTTATAGTCCCCGGAAGTGCGCAGTTGACACATGACTGAGGCCCTGTTAGGGTAAATTTTCCGCCTCGATAATTTAGGACCATTATTCTGAGGATAGCAGTGAATCCTTTTCTTTCCTAAATTTGGACCTTAGGAATCACACCAAGAATAAATACAATATTATTTCTTTCATGCCTATTTTATTAATTTCTCCAGCAACTTTCATTTTTCGTCTTCCCTGTGTGGGTAAGGGGTCCCATTATTTTTTAGGGAAACAAAAATAGACTTGTTTGCTGAAAAAGATGTTTGGCCTAGCTGTAAACTACACAGCAGCATGACAACTGGTCTTTTACTGGTAAAAGCAGAAGACAATAAGGAGTTGTTCATCTGTACTTGTCTGTAGTATCGTCTTTTCTTTGCACAATACTGGCGTATCTTTCCCTCATTTCTGGATTTGATACACAATTGCCAAAGTGGACTTGGTATTTCTTATTATCCTGTTCAACTCGTTCAGTCCCAAGGAACACATCGTACATTCATAAGTTCCTACTTTAAAGCCCAGTGAATGTAAAGAAACAGGTGAAAATCACAAACTTGTTAAAGATATTAGATGTTAACCATCAGTAATTTTAGACATGTTGAGAGGCGGCACCATGTTGATTACAGCATCCAGTAGACCTATAAAAGTATGAGTCTAATATCATATACCTCGTGTGTCACTGGCACGAAAGGACCCTTTCTTGTTTTTTTTTGTTGTTTTTTTTTTCACTTTGATGAGAAATCAATTGAAAAATCATAACCGTAAGTGATAGACTTGATGATAAAAGGTCAATAGAAAGGCAAAGAGATAAATATTAAGACAGAGTGCAGACATGATCTAAGACAAATAAAGATCATACAACTTCAGCATTAGTCCACAGAGTTACTATCCTGATGATGGTGATGTTTAAGATGCTTTAAGTATATAATTTAAGGATTGATAGAACTTGGCAAATGGAAGCATGTAATTCTGTTAACATGTGCTATTTCATTGGGGTTTGTAAATTATTATTTTATTATTTGTAATGGTGGTTCTTTTTTCTTTGCATTGGCAGATCTAAACTAATAATGCAAACAGAAATTCATAATGAGCGTGTCCTGAGATCCCTTTGTCCTGGAGATCGGGTGCAGTTCTCCAGAGGCTTATATAGCCACTGGGCTGTATATGTAGGTAAGTAATGTATGTGTTGCTTTTAAGTGGAGAATTTATATTAGTAAGCAACATTACTTTTATAGATACATTGTTTTTATATTTCACCACTTTTTTTTTTTTTAGATATACTTTAGGTATTGGCCTTATAATGCCCCTAATTTCCATTGCTGTCTATTACTTATACATCCCTGTAAATGAAAAAAACCAGCACTGTTGCATTGGCATATCCCAGAGAAGTCTAGTTAATGGCATTGGTTTTGTTTGCATCTGCACAATGATTACTGACCCTGAATATGATTATTTTTTTTTTTACATTCAGTGGATGTTTTATTGTGGGGAAAAAAGGCTTTTCAAGATATTATTATGTCCTTCAGTGGTAACGTACAAATGATGGCACAGTGTATATATTCACCCAACACATCTTTTTAAGCATACGGGAATGTACTCTATTTAACTCCTCACTTCGTTTGTGTTTGTTGATAATTCCCTTTCATATGTTTGCAAAAATAGAAATAATAAGTAAGTAAATAAGTTATAAATGGCCTAATATTATCTATTTTTTTAAAGGATTTTTCAGGCAGTATTTGTAGCTCTGTAAATTAGATATCATTTTTGCTATAGCAGCATAATTGCTGTTGACTCCTTCTACATTCTGGTGCCTTACAGCACGAGGCAGTTTCTAACGTGTCAGGTGAAGCTCTTTAGGGCGAGCACTAACACTAAATTCATGTGGCGGAGTGTTCATCCATAATAGCAAGAGTTGGATAATAATACCTATGGTTTTTAATCCACCTTCAGGTCCATTACTGCCAGATTTAGGATCTCTTTGGAGGGATAATGGGTTCATCAATTATTTGCACTCTAGTTATATTAAAACTTTGCTGACTGCCTGTCTTATCACGCTTTCTGTTCAAGATTTAAAATGTGCCTTATACCAATATATATCAAAAACTGCACAGGCTGGAATAAGTGTTTTGTCACAACAGATGGGCATGTATTCACAGAGAAGGTCAGGGAAGGTTAGACAAGGGGCAGTTACAAAGAAGCAGCCAGGCGCCCATCAACACTCATAGCTGATGTCAACACTGAGCGTGCACACGATATGATTCTGTTGCATTAGGAACAGAATTCTGATAAATGTTTAACTATTAACAATGCGTCGGCTCTGTGGCTAAGTCGATGTGAAAGCTTCATAATGCTGGGATGCCTGGTTCAATCCCAGCTGCGGGCCATGTGCCTTGCGTTGGTTTCGACAGTAGTATAAAGAAAGCCGACCGTCCAGAAAGCAATGGCAAACTACCAGACGTAAATTTGTCTAGAAAAACCACACAACAGCCAAGGGCTGTTGGCGTTGGTTCTGCAACGTCCTGTAAAGGATACGCAACTAACCAATAACAATGCTGTTTTACTGGTTGCTGAGTGAATTACAAGAGACAGTGAAGTTCATACTGGAGACAACATTACAGATATAGATGATATATTTCAAGTGAACGAAAGAAGAAGAAGAACAATGCTGTTGATAGTGAGATGCTGACTGAAGAACTGAAGCTCTACCTACAAACTTTTCTTATATCCCATTGTGACCTCTACATGCAAGCCTAGATTCAAGATAGATGCCATGATGCCACTGCATATGTGCACATGTTTGTTGTTTCTAGGTCAAATTTTTTTGGGGTGGTGTGTGTGGCGCATCCTGAAAGTATATATATATTCAAATACATATTTTGGTATTTGTGTAATCACACAATGCAGTTAGTTTATATACTTGTAGGTGATGTTACGGACAAACAATTCCAGTTGGATGTATTATTTAGACATAGAATATCATTTAACACTAATAAAAAAGAAAAGAAGGAAATTAGTAGAAAATAAGAAAGATTGTGGGGAAATATGTCAAAGGAGCCACGCAAATTTATATATGTTTTTTTTTTTCTAATAAAGAACTGGATGTGGCTAAAAGAGCATCTGTCATGTCACCTCAAAGAAACAAATTAATGCAAAAGTGGAAACTTCACTACTCATCTGCATTAATGACATTTAACTGAAAGCAGATATTGTATCTCAAAATATGATCTGTTCAACAGCTCAGGCTATTTACACAGATCTATCAGCAGTTAATATCCGCTGCCGGTAGCAAAAACATCAGCGAAGAGTTAAAATCTAGCAAAGGATGGTTTGGAAAATTCAAGGATAAAGCCGTTATCCGTAGTGTCGTTAGATGTGATGAGGTGCTGTGCATGGTCCTCACGATTACATGGTGGCAAGCAGGAAGTCCGTGCAACAAGTGATGGCACGAGATACTTGTGGCCGGTGGAGTAAGCGAGGCAAAGCCCGAGCTAGCCTCGTGGTCAGTCGATCATGAGAAGTCAGAGAAGACGGTTGTAGTATTTGAAGATGCCGTTTTTATGTCGGGCACATGGTTAATGTTCGAATGTGTCGCGAGTGATAAAGTGTGAATAATGTTTGAACATGTGAAATGAATGGACCAGAATAAACTGACAGAATGTACCAAGAAGCTGAGCGGCGTTTGTGATGTCAACCCTAGACGTTAAAGTTGGTGCAAACCAAGGTTAATTTCAAGATAGTTGAAAGCGTAGCTTCAAGTCTACGTCAAGGTACATTCCAAGTAGACCAAGATTCATTACAAGTGAAGCATCGATTCATTACATTAGACATGGAAAAGATGCAGTGCTGACCCCAAAAAACAAATCCGCTGAAATGTTTCTAAAGGACTTTCAGAAGTTACAAACCAGAGCAGGTTTTTAGCTGGGATTTTCCCAAAGAAAATGCCTAAGAGAACTTTTATCAATAAGGAGGAAATGGCATTGCCAGGACACAAGCTGATGAAAGACAGACTAACTTTGCTATTTAAACAACAGAAAGTTAACGGACAAAAACTCAGCTTTATATGGAAAAGTAACAGCAGAACCTGGGTGACCAGGTAATTCTGTGAGTGGATGGCAAAGGGTTTTGCTCCCACAGTGATACAGTACATAAAGAAAAGGGTCTGCCTGTCTGAGAAAGTTCTTACAATGATCAGTGCGCCAATATTTATTGTTTTTTAATTTTTCTATATCTAAGAATGAATTGATTCATTTCCCTCAAGGTGTAATGGAAAACTGAGTTTCCAGATATAAACTTTACGAGAGACAAACCATAGTCAGGAACGAATTATGTTCGTTTGTTAGGGCACCACTGTAATACTGAAAAGCAAAAAGATTTTGTTGAAAAAAAATTAATTAAAATCTGCAGCTAAGGTTTTGATACTGTTTTACTTGATCTTGCTGTTTTTCACTATTGAGTCCAGAAATTCCACATCTGTGATATTTCTGATTTCTTCCTTATTGATTTTAATGTGAAGCTGGTATGCTCGATTTAATGTTTTTTTGTTTTTTTTAATGTAAACAAAAAAAATGCACTTCTTTGCTGTGCTGTTTGATGATGAAAATTAATTCTCCTAAGCTCTATAGGGTTAGAGAAGAAAACTGTGTTGTCTACATGTCTCTCTTGTAGGACATGTTTACCTCTAGTTGTAAGTGCATCTAAGCTGTCACAGCCCTCATCACTAATTGCATTTATAATATTTTCTGTATATATGATGACAAGAGAAGAAGACATAATGCAGACCAGTTTCACTCCTCTTTGTACCGCAAACCAGTCCAATGTTTTACCTGTTTTTAATTTTTAAAAATTGTCATCTTTATGAGAACTGAATTGAATGTCATTTTGCAGGCAATGGGGAAGTCATTCATTACAGTAAAACGTACATGCTAATCAAGAAGGAAAACTTCTTCAGTGTGGCAAGAAATCACAAAGCGTTGAAAAACAACAGTAGAAAATGGAGGTACAGAATGTTACTTTTTAAGCTTATGTTCACTAAATATTAATATTTCTTCTGTTTTTGCATCTTTATAAGAATTATAAAATGCCTCAGAACTGAAAGAAAAATGTGTCGATTCACTACATGAGCTTGTTAACTTTAGATTATTTAAATATCATCACCACCATGTAGGAGAGCAGATTCAAAGGGTTCTCATTACCCTGTGAAGCAGTGCATGTCCTTCTACACAAAATATACCTGGCTCCACTTCTATCAGCATTCTATATGAGTATATTAGGGTCACAGCATGAGTGTAGCAGGTCTCTTTCAACAAAAGGCTACAGTGATTCCAACTAAATGTTTTGGTATCTTGTGCCAGGTTGTCTTGTACAAAATGTCATTCATTTCAAGCTATGGGTTAAAAAATGCTTCTTCTCCCTTTTAATACAGAGCCATCTGTGCAGATAACTATAGACACAGAGCCATCTGTATAGATGACTATACAGACACAGAGCCATCTGTGCAGATAACCATACGGACACAGAGCCATCTGTGCAGATAACCATATGGACACAGAGCCATCTGTGCACATAACCATATGGACACAGAGCCATCTGTGCAGATGACCATATGGACACAGAGCCATCTGTGTAGATGACCATACAGATACAGAGCCATCTCTACAGATGAACATACAAACACAGAGCCATCTGTGCAGATGACCATACAGACACAGAGCTATCTGTGCAGATGACCATATGGACACAGAGCCATCTGTGCAGATGACCATACGGACACAGAGCCATCTGTGCAGATGACCATACGGACACAGAGCTATCTGTGCAGATGACCATACAGACACAGAGCCATCTCTACAGATGACCATACAGACACAGAGCCATCTCTACAGATGACCATACAGACACAGAGCCATCTCTACAGATGACCATACAGATACAGAGGTATCTGTGCAGATGACCATACAGACACAGAGCCATCTCTACAGATGACCATACAGACATAGAGCCATCTCTACAGGTGACCATACAGACACAGAGCCATCTGTGCAAATGACCATATGGACATAGAGCCATTTGTGCAGATGACCATACAGACATAGCCATCTCTACAGATGACCATACAGACACAGAGCCATCTGTGCAAATGACCATATGGACACAGAGCCATCTGTGCAGATGACCATACAGACACATAGCCATCTGTGCAGATGACCATACAAACACAGAGCCATATCTACAGATGACCACACAGACACAGAGCCATCTCTACAGATGACCACACAGACACAGAGCCATCTCTACAGATGACTACATAGAGCCTTCTTTGCAGATGACCATGTAGAGCCAACTGTTTAGACAATCATATTAGCATGGTGAGAATGACTTGTTGAGTTTCCACTGCTATATATATATGTGTGTATGTATGTGTATATACACACATATATACACACACATACACACACACACACATACCATTTGGCACTTCAAATATGATTTGAGTATTATATTGGCACTTGTGGCTTATGTGTTATGATCACTGTATCATTATTCAAACATTATTTTATTATTCCTGGTTTGATTCAAATGCAGACGATTAGCTGCAGATCACTTTGCACTATTTTTGACAATGTCATGTGCTTCAATCCCTTCAAAAAAGCACTAGTGAGCTACTTAATGTAAAACCAAATGTCTTGTAAACCTTTAAATAACCAACAAATACTTGGATTAGTTTACGACAGTGATTCTCAAACTGCGCTGCGGCGTCCCGGGAAACTGAAACCTCTTCACATGGGCGCCGCAAAATATTGTAAAATCTTCATAACTAATTTAACAAAGACACAAATAGTCATATTTTTACTTAGGTTAGGGCCCCACGTAAAAATTTTAATTGGATAAAGGCGCCACGACCAAGAAAAGTTTATGACATTCGGTAAAGAGTGTGCAGTTAACTCTCAGTATCATCTCGGCCACCTTTACTCCCCAGAATAGTTCCTGATACATGTTTCTGCTTCTTTTTACTTCTGTTTTTGTCTAAAAAGGTAGTTGTTGCATAGTGTTGTGGTTCACAGCTCGGCTGCAATATCTGTGCCTTTCAGCCCAACACATCTGATTTCAGCCACAAAATCTGATTGCTTACGTTTTACCACATACTTGTTAGGGGTTCAGTGGGTCTCCTCTTTTTTTTTAATGCTCCAAAATGGGGTCCTGGAACCCACAAAGGAGAAGATGTCATTTTATAGCACTCCCCTTACCTAATTTGTTTGCCCACTTCTCAGTCCCCTGCCAGTGAATGAAATTCTGCAGAGAGCAGATTCACACCTGGGGAGACCATATTATAATCTGCTTCTCGACAATTGTGAGCATTTTGTGAACTTGTGCTGCTATGGAAGACGTGAGAGTGATCAGGTGAGACAGATGAAATTTGTCATTGAAGTTGTCCTTACATAGAATTGATGATACTGTGAATTGATGTTGTTGCTAACATAGAATAGATTACATTGTAAATGTAAATGGGGGAAACCATCAAGGTGATGAATGGCGCCTTTGCTGTTACAACTGGTAGCCTTACAGTGAAAACTATGGCTGTAACAAGGGCTTTAGCATGGCTTGGTACTCAATGTTCACACTGTGTATGCATTCTTAGTGACTTGAGGAATATGCTTAAAAAAATCCAAGCTGGATTTAACAGGCAAGAATGGATTGCAACACCAAGAACTTCACGAATAGTTGCCCTAACTTTCATCTTTGTGCCAGGTGATGCGGATGTTCAAAGGAACGAGCGTGCAGACTATCTTGCTTACACTGCGGTTGCTATGGCTGATCTAGTACTGGACAGAAGTTATGTTATCACTGCCATGCGCTGCACTTACCGTACCGAGGAACATGTCAAAGGACATGACTGCATATCTCTGTCCAGACTGATGGACATGGGGGTGCAGCCTGGAGCTGCAAGAAATGAACATTTCACTAAGGGGACAAGATGTTTCATTACCTAACACAGAACAGGCGTCATTATTCGTTTTACACTTGTGGAGCTTTCGAGTAGAAGATCGGAGCACCAATGGATCTGTCCGGAGTGCTGTGATGATAATCCTTTCTAATCACTAATCACATTGTAAACTGAGTTTTGCTTGCATAGATTAAATTACATTGTGGGTTGGTGTGTTTGTTTACAAAGAAAGATTACATTGTGGGTTGGTATTTTGCTTACATAGAATATATAGCACAGCTGTCTATGAATATGTTGATGTCACACACTTTAGTTTACTATAGGAGGAGTCATTTGAGGAATATAGATGAGGAGAACGGTGGTCTTTCTTGCTAGCTGCATGCTTCTCCTGTTACTCTGATGCTTGTGTAACGAGAACATGATATTCGCAATGGCAGCTGATTTCTCCTACAGTTATATACTCTTGCTGTCATGTTGTGTTCTTCATCTCTGTTTACTTGGGAACTGGTTCTTTTATCTGTAACTGCTTCCTGGCTTATAGTACTGTCTGATACTAACGGTTTGATCATCGATTCTGACATCTTAGTAATGTTCTTACCAAATGTGTGTTAGTTGACCATGAATCCATGTACATTGTCTATTATCTATACAGTTCGATGTTTCATTTCATGTCTCTTCTCTAGTGTCTGTTTTTATTTTTAGGCTCCACGCTACTGATTCCTTTTCTTTCTAGTGTTGAATTGTGAGGGCCCTTTGGGAACGGGTGAACAGTGTGGAGGCACAGATGGATCATTACGATCTGAGGAGAATGGCGCTGCAAGGAGTTACTGGGGAATCTGGCTGACGCTAAACATTCAGGGGAAGGATAAGACAGATATACAATCAGACAGTTACTGGCACAGTCGGAATTGGAACTCTTTGCTTGCTGCTGAAGATAGGGACTGAGCACTTATGGGAGTGTCCTGAGTGATGTGATGTCGATTCTTAATTCAACATTTTAGTGTTGAGCTGGCATCTCCACAACTGAAGGTTCTTCCTAACATGTACTACTAATCCCTACTCTTTTAAGTCTCGTAGACTGGAGGTTCTCATCTATGAGTTTCAATATGACTAGTCCCTCTTCTTCCAAGTCTTGAGGACTGAAGCATGCTCAAGTGGTTTCTTACCCACTATTTATGTCTGCTTTAAGATTGCAAGAATAGTTGTTTTTTACTCTTTACTTGCTCCTAGAAGGTTCTAGTATGCTCAGACTTGTTTACTATCTATGTTCTCACCATGGGATTTTCTAACTATGTCCGACTGCATCATCTAGTTCTGCACCTAAATATCGTAGTTAGGTCTTCTAGGGTCTGCTAGAAAGTGAGTACTGCTGGGCTCTTTTTGATAAGGCAGGTCCACACAAAAAATTACACAAAGTGTTATTTATATAACTAGGTTATTCATTTGCATAATTTCACTCTGTTAATAAATAAGTTATGGTTCTAGAAAGGGAATGTCAAGGTTGCTAAGACTTGTGAGTTTCAATCCATTCTAACTCTGCACAATATCCTATCTCCTGAAAAGCATGTGATTGTTCTAAAAACAACTGTGTCGCTGAAGAACAAGAAGATCGCTTGCTGAGAGCATCGCACAGTGCAAATCTCTGTAAATTGAGCAATCACCCTTATGGATCTTTGTAACACCTGCAAACTAAAGTTCAGAGTTTGAAATTGATCCCACATTCTTCACATCAGAGCAAACTGCTTAAGCAATTCACCATGGCTACCATCTTGTTAACAGACACGATTGAATGCTGCTGCGGTTGTTCATGAAGCTTGAGGTTTTAGTTCAAAGTATGTTACTTCACCTGCCATTTGAATTCCGTTTTTTTTTACTAGAATAATCTGGAAGCATTTAAGTCTTTTTTCATGAAGGTTCTCCATGTTAAATATCCACACACTGTAGTACTTAGAACAAATCTTGTAAGTCAGGATTGATATCATAATTGTGATTAGTGAGAACTGTCATCACAGTACTCCAGACAGATCCAGAGGTGCTCCCATCTCCTCCTCACTAGCTCCACACGAGTAAAATGACTAATCACACTGTTGATTAACCAGACGCCTTGTTCCCTTGATAAAATATTCGTATCTGGGTATACCAGACTGCACTGTCGCGTCCACCAACCTGGACAAGGGTACAGCTTGTTGTGATCTTCTCTGCGATATGCAGCATGCATAGCATTAATGATATTATTCCATTACAAGGCTGGGCAAATCATGGTAACTTTCATGTCTGCCAGATAATCTGCACGCTCATTGCCTTGAACACCCGATTAGCCCAGCACAAAGATCAAGGTTAGGCGAGTTGTTTTTGATGCACTTAGTGAGAGAATCCGTTCATGTCTGATCAGGCTGACTATGATTTTCTTGAGCATTTTCATTGCCATAAGTGTCAGATGTTTGATATTCAAATTTATTTTGAAAAGCATAACCACTACTGATTTTCTTCTTTGCATTTACCAACTGTAAATTCTGGCAGAAAGTTCCAGTTGTTCGTTCACTGTTTTTTTGTTTTTTTGCATCTTGTTCTAGAACTTGAGCTTTGCATGCATGTCCATTTTACAGATCTGGCTTATTTCTATACAAGCTTTATTAAACCAGAAGTAGTAAGATGTCAACAACAACAAAATAGAAATTTGGGTTCCCCAGATTAACCCGAGATTCGTACATGTTAAGTATGAGTAAAAATCAGTGAATATTAAAAGACCACACAATTTTCAGAATCGACAAAAAACTTTTTTATTTATGAATGCTTGGTTTATACATAAATCGCATTGGCAGTAATATTGTGCCTGTGCTGGGTGATTTTGGTTGGCCTTCTAAAAAATAGACCTTTAAATAAAAAATGTTCAAGCTTCACTCTCAATTTCCATAAAATAAAATGGGGCACTCATTTAAGTATACTTTGAAAGTTTCATCTTGTAATCTTTGACGCCAAGCTTTTCATACACAGTTCTAAAATCACACCCCAGCAATTATAAAATAACATGGCTGCCCATGGCAGTGCAAATTTATTTTTGTAATAACACTGATTTAAGATATTTAATACCCCTTCAACTTCCAGTTAATGCATAATTGAATTTATCGTCCATTGTAGTATTTATGTTCAATTTTTGCAAACTCTAAAGGTGACACCAAGCCTATTATTTAACAACTATATGCTGTGAAGTGATGCAATGTGGACGTTCTGTAAGACAACATTTTCACAATGACAGCTTTTGGTTTTAAAACAATAATTACAGTTTTATTTATTTTTGAATATTAAACAACCCACAACAGTTACAACAATGCGTACTTGAAGTAAACATTGCAGTATTTATAGTTAATTATTAATTACCTTTTTTTTTCACACAAAGGTGTGACTGTGTGAGGCATGCCAGGGCTTAGGTGGGTAATGAGGGATTTCAACTTTGATAAAAACATCATAGATACCATTGAAGCACTTTATAAAGACTCAAGCAGTGAAGTATTCATACAAAATGACAAGAGCCTATATTTTAGAACCACTATAGAAGTGAGACACGGGTACATATTATCCTCAGTGCTTTTCAATTTAGACTTGCAATACATCATGAAAAAAAGCACTTCAAAATCATGAAACATCAACAAGGTCCAACAATTAAGTAATGAGGCTGATTTTATTATGGCTAAGACAAAAACGCTATTTATGATTCACAGCATGGAATCCAAAGAGGCAACTTTCATCTATGATCTGGCAACTTTTCATTGCTGCCCGATAGGCTAGGTAGACAACAAACAAGCCGCCATGCTGTTAACCTAATCAGAGGTGCATTGTTACGTTATCAGCATGGAGCAAAATAAGCTGTTATTAAATTCTGTTTAAAACTCAGAAAAAAGGGCAATTGCAATAGTTGAATTGATGCGACAAGTTTATGGGGATAATTGTTTATCTCATGCACAGATTTTCAGATGGTATGCTCGAAATTATTACTATGGGTGCAACTAGACCTGGATCTCATCTCCCACACATGTTGTAACGATGGTGCTCCTTTCAATAAAGGGATTGAAGCGCATTCCTATTTATAGCTTTCTTCAAAGGTTTTTTCCTTACTTTCTTTAGAGTTCCAGAATAGGCACAAATTTAGCTTTATATATATTTTATTTTTGTTAAATATTTTTGAACATGTCCAATTTGATATTTATGTTTTGATAAGGAAAATGTCTTGAGTAATTCGATAAGGAAAATTTCCAGAGTCATTTGAAAATTGTTCCGCTTGGTTTGAAAAACGTTATAGGAGGTTTGGAAATTGTCCAGTTTAAAGTGAAAATGATGTGTTTGTGTGTGTATATATAGTATTATATATATATGTGTGTGAGTGTGTGTGTGTCTTATTCTTAGAGTCCATACCCTGTGGCATTGATAGTCATGTCTATGCAAAATCTTCTGTCTCATGTACTTTCAATCAACTCTGACACAGATGATCTTCCATACTATGATGTAAAACCATCCAGGATCTGTTCTCTCTGCCTCTTCTCCCCTCCAACTTTCCAACAGTCACGATGTACTCCAGTTTTCTCCGTCTCATCACATGACCAAAGAATGTAAATTGTCTCTTTCTGATGTGGGCAATCAGTTCTCTTCGTGAGTCAGTTTCTTCCAAGACACCTTCATTACTCTTTTTATCTGTCCAGTGTATTCTCATCATTCATCTATAAAACCACATCTCTGCAGCTTCCAAATAAGTTTTCAATAATTTACTATCTGTCCATGATTCACATCTGTATATCTATATAGGATTTATATAGCTTTTAAGAATTCTCTTTTTCCTCTCAACTGACAAAGAAAGATTGCATAAAACATTCTTCATTTTGTAAAATTCTGCCTTTGCCTGAGCTATTTGGCATTAAACTTCCTTAATACAACTTGCTTGAGGTTTGTCCCATTCACTTTGATTTTGCATTTTGGAGGGTGAGTTTTCTTTGTAGTTACCATTGCTTCAGTTTTTCTGCTGTTGAAACTAAGACCCTTGTTTTCACTTTCCATTACAATTATATCCATCATTTCTGCAGCTGTGTTTCATTTTCAGCGATCAAAACTATATCATCAGCATATCGCAGGTTTTTAACAATAAGGTCATTCTTTCTGAAAGTGTTCTCAAGATAAACATGGCGTTGTGTGTGGCTTCAACAAAACCACTCTGCTCTTCAATTTCTGGTTCAATTTTGCACTTTATTCTTCTCATGATAATTATTGTTAATATTTTAGTTACATGAATCATTAAACTAATTGTTCTATGTTCTCCACATTCCACTGCACCAGATATTTTTGGTTAAGGTATGAAAAGAGATTTCAATATATATATATATATATATATCCATGCTACAGTGCTAAATTATCTGTCATTCCAGTGTTTCTAATTGTCTTTAAGTACTTCAGCACCCGCCCCCCGCCCCTCCCCCGCCCAATCTCAAGAGATGCCTTGTCTCTGGATTGTCTCTTGTGGTGTGAGTAACTGATTAACTTTTTGTGGAAATATCTTCATTATGTCCTTTTTTCATGTCCGTGTCATGGATAAAGTCATAAAGCTTCCACAGCAATGTCTTTCTTGCTAGTCTACATACAATGCACACTTTACTTTCATACATTATGATTGACTCAGCTTAAGCTTAATCAAATTTCTTATCTTGATGTGCAAAGAAAAGATAGTGATAACTGACTTTGTGTGTGTTTTTTTCTGGATCAAACAGGTTAAAAGAGCAGTGATAGGAGTGGGGATTGCAGGATTTGGACTTGGAGTTTATGCTGGAGTTAATGAACTTAGGAAAATTCAAAAGAGAAAGAGAGAACGCGATGCTGCGCTACGCCAGATGAATGAGTAATCCGCTTGTACACAGTGGCGAACAGGCCTGAGTATCAGCTTGCGCAGGGTCTCAATGAAACCTAATGAAGTCAGCCCTATTAATCATTACTTAAGATGTTTGTAATGTTAAATACCTAGTTGTAGATGGGCCACCTTCGTTATTGCATCTGATAATTTTAGATACTGGTCGCAGTTCGCCACTGCATGCATAAACATATTTTTTTTAAATAGAACATACTTATCCTAACTAATTTGTCTTTCTGTCCCCATGTTGCACTTATCCTCACACTTGAACAGCTTATAGAAAATAACACTGAATGTGATAAGAACTTATGTATGGCATTTGTACGCCACACGTCCATTCGACAGAGTGGATGGACAAGTATTATTTAAAGTAACAGTTCAATATGAAGTAAGCAAACACCTCTAAACTACTCTTAGTAACACCTCGAGTAAGACAGGGATGAGTCTTATAACCACTGCACAATGATGGTTTGCCCAAAATACCTTGTGACACCATACCATACAAGGCAAAAACCTAAAGAGGCGAAGGACATAGAGCACAAGGTAGACCAAGAGCAAGATGGACAGTTAACATCAGAGAAACTCTACAACAGCACGATGTGTGTCTGTGGTTGGGGCAGCCAGAAGAGCAAGAAACAAAACCTTATACCTCCCTCAACATCCGAAACTGTACAAGAGGAAGTAAACAAACAAACTTTATTTTCAAAAATTTGACACGCAGGCTCATCTTACATTCGGTCCTCTTAAACACCCATCTTTCACACAGCAGTTGTATTTTATAAATTAAGCATGTTATGTTCATATAATAATATGCATATTATGAATACCAACAAACAAAACACATAAGCATAGGTGGTAAAAGCCATGGGCACACTTCATGCGCACACACATACATGCCCACATATACATGTAAACCCATTTACTCACTTTGGGGTCATCATGGTGTAGCAGATTGATGCTCACCTACGGATCAGAGGGTCGTGGGTTCGCTCCCTGAATCAGACCTTTTTTTTTTTTTCAAAAGTGACCTTACCTCCCAGGTCGACCCAGCATTTAGTGAATACCAGATGCAGTCCTAGGAAGTAAAGGCGGCTGGCGTGATGCTGACCACGTCAGCCATCAAGTGCCGATTGGTCTATAAAAATAAAGGTCTAGCCCTATATGCCCGATATGCCTAAAGGCGTGGAAAAGGGTCCTTTACACTCATGTACACACAGACACAGATATGCACACAGACATGTAGACACAGACACACACACACATACACAGTTAAAAAGAATAAGATTATTAAAAATAAAATGTATGTTCAGTTTAAGAGATTTCCTTGTGTGCTTTTTTTTTTTTTTGGTAACATCTTTCTTGACTGTTGTCTATCTGACTATTTGTTTCAAAGTACACCAGCATGCCTAGAGAAATTCAAAGTATGCTAACTAACCAGGAATTCTGAGCTTTTGAAGCTATTGAAAGGGGGGGGGGGGGGGGTAGGTGGATTACTACATTAAAAACAAAAATCACATTTCTTTATTGCAGTTTCTGTTTCAGAGATTATGGAAGCAACAGTTGATTGGGTAGTAGTAGACATTACAGAGATTATGGAAGCTATGGTTGATTGGGTGGTGGTAGACATTACAGAGGCCAGAGGCTACGGTTGAATAGGTGGTTGTAGACATTACAGAGATTGTGGAAGCTACGGTTGATTGGGTGGTGGTAGACATTACAGAGATTACGAAAGCTATGGTTGATTGGGTGATTGTTGACATTACAGAGGCTACGGTTGAATGGGTGATGACAGACGTCACAGAGATTACGGAAGCTACGGTTGATTGGGTGGTAGTAGACATTACAGAGGTTACGGAAGTTGATTGGATGGTGGTTGACATTGCAGAGACTACTGTTGAATGGGTGATGGTAGACGTTACAGAGATTATGGATGCTACGGTTGATTGGGTGGTGGTAGACTTTACAGAGATTACAGAAGCTACGGTTGATTGGGTGGTTGTAGACATTACAGAGATTACGGAAGCTACGGTTGATTGGGTGATTGTTGACATTACAGAGGCTACGGTTGAATGGGTGATGGTAGACGTTACAGAGATTATGGAAGCTACTGTTGGTTGGGTGGTGGTAGACATTACAGAGGTTACGGAAGCTACGGTTGATTGGGTGGTGGTTGACATTACAGAGATTATGGAAGCTACGGTTGATTGGGTGGTGGTAGACATTACAGAGATTACGGAAGCTACGGTTGATTGGGTGGTGGTTGACATTACAGAGATTATGGAAGCTATGGTTGATTGGGTGGTGGTAGACGTTACAGAGATTATGGAAGCAATGGTTGATTGGGTGGTGGTAGACTTTACAGAGATTACAAAAGCTACGGTTTATTGGGTGGTTGTAGACATTACAGAGGTTACAGAAGCTACGGTTGATTGGGTAGTTGTAGACATTACAGAGGTTACAGAAGCTACGGTTGATTGGGTGGTAGTAGACATTACAGAAATTACGAAAGCTATGGTTGATTGGGTGGTGGTAGACATTACAGAGGTTATGGAAGCTACGGTTGATTGGATGGTGGTTGACATTAGAGACTATGGGTGATGATAGACGTTACAGAGATTATGGAAGCTACGGTTGATTGGGTGGTAGTAGGCGTTACAGAAGCTACGGTTGATTGGGTGGCAGTACACATTACAGAGATTACGAAAGCTACGGTTGATTGGGTGATTGTTGACATTACAGAGGCTACGGTTGAATGGGTGATGGTAGACGTTACAGAGATTATGGAAGCTACGGTTGATTGGGTGGTGGTAGTTATTACAGAGATTATGAAAGTTACGGTTGATTGGATGGTAGTAGACTACAGAGATTATGAAAGTTACGGTTGACTGGATGGTGGTAGACGTTACAGAGGCTCCAGTTATAACTTCTGAGGATGAACAAGGTATCTGGAACCTGCCTTGCTGGTCAGAGATTTTGTAATCTTTATTTTTTTTTTTTTTTTTTTTTTCAAATCAAGGAGACAGACATGATGGATATAACAAACAAGAAACAAACACCAAAATGTGATATTACAGTAGAGTGAAAAGTGCTTAAGCAGATCAACAAGCTTAGATATTTGAGACAAATTATAACATCAAATGGAAGATGTATAGAGAAGGGGCAGGATATATGTGGTATTTGAAAAAAATTTCGATAAATTTTATGCAACGGGACTGTCTCATGAAATGTAGGACAAAGAGCACTGAAATATTATGTTGAACTTGTGCTGCTGTATGGTTGTGACTCTTATAATGTGAATGAACACATTAAGAAGAATGTGGAGGCTGTGCTGGTGTTGTTTCTAAGGCGAATGCTTTGGAACCCGTGGACAGCCAGAATAACTAACAACTATAGCCTGGTAATGGCTAATGAAAACTATACAACTGTAAGAAAGAGGCAGTCAGTCATTTTTTTGGGTCTTGTGGTGAGAAAAAAGGCATTGGAGAATATGATGACTGGAAAAATCAACGGTAGAAGAGACAATGGCAGACCAAGAGAAACATTCTTGATGTCCTAAAGCGATGGCATGGAAGAATATCAGTCGAATTGATTTAGAAAACCAATGATCAAGATCAGGAGATACTTTAGTGCCTATGCTGCATGGCAGGGCACATGCTGACGATGAATCTCAGTGTGCCAAACTTTCAGGTAGCTATTCGGCGGGAACAGAGAAGGCAGATTTCCAGATGGCACTGTACATTTTAGTCATATATTTATTTTAATTAAAAACTTGATTTTGGCATCTGTGGTTTACTTAAAGTTAACATATACAGTTACTACAGTGGTGGATTTCAAACACATATGTGGACTACAGTGGCAGATTTCAAATACATATGCGAACTACAGTGGCGGATTTCAAACACATATGTGGACTACAGTGGCGGATTTCAAACACATGCGGACTACAGTTGCGGATTTAAAACACATATGCGGATTACAGTGGCGGATTTCAAACACATATGCGGACTACAGTGACGGTTTTCAAACACATAAGCGGACTACAGTGGCGGTTTTTAAACACATAAGCGGACTACAGTGGCAGATTTCAAACACATATGCGGTCGAAGCACTTTGGGAGAAGTTGTTGAAGCACAAATCGATCATGATGGTCTGGAGACAATGGTACTGTTGGATTACATGACCAAGGATGTGATTGTTATGACTCACTTAGACAGAAGGCAAGACTGCTAATGGTAGCATCAGAACTGAAGCTCCCTGCTGGAGATGTGGACAGGGCGCTTGTGTGCATGTCCTGAGTGTTGTGATGTTGATTTTTAACTCAGCTCCGCTTAGACACTTAGACTGCAATGTTTAGTTAAAAGCAATATCCCCGCATGGGTTCCACAGCGCCATTTTGGAGAACAAAAGTGTAAACACACTACCGTCTAACAAGCCTATCGTAGGAGGCAACTAATTATGGATGTTCAGTTCCTCTAACTGTTTTATACAGAGTAACTCGGTTTCTGGCAGTTGCTACTGCTGTTCTGAAATGCCTATCACGAACAGGTGTCAGGTAGCAGGATGGGGAATGTTGTTAATGTATTTGTGACTCATGAAGGTAGGACTAACCTGGACTCCCAGATGAACGCGGCCTACGGTGGGTACTGAGAAATTTCGTGGAGACTGAAAGCGACCGGCTGGACGTTGACAGCGGCCATCAAGTGGTCTTTTAAAGAACCCATTACACCTATTTGAAGTAAAAAGAGGTTATTTACATGTGTCTTAATGTTTTAAAACCACGAGGAAAAGTAAGGGACCCTTGGCTAGACCTATATTTTATAGATCAATCGGCACAAGATGGGGGATGTGGTCAGCATCACGCCGGCCGCCTTTACTTCCCGGAACTGCACCCAGTACCCACTCAAAGCTGGGAGCCAAGGCCATTTTTGAAAAAAAGTCCGACTCCGCCAGGGAGCGAACCTACGACCTTCCGATCTGCGGTGAGCGTCTAGCCGC